GCACTGTTGATAAAACAGCTGTTTTTTTTTTTCTAATTCGAATGCGTTCATGACACGATATTACTAAAAACAGAAAGAAATATATTCGCTCTCATAAATTTGCCTATGTTGTTTCCCCTAAATCGTACATTTAATAGATGAGTTAACGTAATTTCACTGTGTGAAAGCTAGCACCTTTTGCACAATTTTTTCCTTCATAGCATTTTATTATTCTAGTAATTAACTATCTACTACTGATATGAAATTGATTCTCATGAACACGTGCAATTAGTTTTATCATTTATTCCCTGATGTAATTCGTTTTAGAATCACGTATCAATCAATTAATGCAAGTAACTGCACTTAATATAAAATAAATTGCACAATATACCTTTTCCCTTTTGTCTTGTTCCTATTGTTGCATGATGTTCATTAATTCTTTAAACGAATTGAATAAGAAACATATGAATAACTAGAAATATAGTGTATGTGTGTAGATATTCCAATATATTAGAAAGGTAAGAGAAATAACGAATGTGCTACATTTCTACAGAAAGTTAGATTAAGTTACTTACTATCACCGTTAAAATTTTTCAATTTGTTGTAAAATTGTATAATTGTATAACTATTGTTCTTGTCATTGTTATTAAATTTATTACAATAGTACCCAAATCAATTCAGAAATATTCATTCCTCTTGTAAAAATAGCACTCACAAATGTTTTTCAGATATATGTCACTTTGTATTAAAAAAAGAAAAAAACATTAATTTTGACAGAATATATAAATAAAAAGAATATTTAAAAATTTGTACCAATACAATATTCAAAGATTGTTGATATTGGAAATAGTATACATACTTCATCATTCAAAGTAATAATAAATACATGATATTGAGTCATTAAAATTTTAAGAAGTTATATATATAGGTATACATACCAAAACATTCTCTTCTCATTCTTATAGTATTAATTATATGTGTCAATTATATGTGTTAGCGCAAGAATATTAAACATTCTTGCAAAGTATTGACAATATTATTGATTCATTCCAAAGCAATATTACCTTGAAGTAGTCTGGAAATTATTTGCATTAATGCAATCTGAAAAATAACAAATACACTTTGCCACAGGTATTGAAAGATTTATTTCTAATAACTCTTGTACATTTATGTTTACTCTGTAAAATTGCTATATAAGTATAGCTCGATTGTAATATTATGTATGCAAATATTTCGGTATTATGAAATGTTTTATATTCTTTAGTTATTAGATAAAAAAATGCAGTGAACAAAAGTTTGTTCGAAGTGGCGATCTCCGAGAAAAATATCGTTATGCATAGTAAACTCATTGGAAACTTAATAATGAAGTTGGTATATTTTTTACTCAATATACGATATTTCTGCAAATCATATACGTGCAAATGTGTATTACTGTCCAAACATTTTTACATTACACACAAGCAGATTACATTGCATATGTTTGTATATTAATTCAATCTTTTCTTGAAAGTGGATTAAGTGTCTGAAACACAATTTTTCGTTCATCTAAATATTAAACTTTAGCGTCAATATATGACGCACTGGTTATTTTTTAGAGTAGATAGTATGTTTCGAGCTGGAAACTCTGCATACAAAATGGATTATAGATGATCTTTTATCTTCGAACACTGTCATTGTTTCAACTGATAACGCAAAATTCAAGACACAGGATGGTCTACTGTGACTATGTATATAGATACTCGAAGAAGAAAATGTTATATTTCAGATTTTTAAACAATTGAGATTTAAGACAATAATTAAGAAATAAAGTTGCAACGGTTTTTGATGAAATGATTAACAAAATAATAACAAATCTTTTGATGAAATGATTAACAAAATAATAACAAATCTTTTGATGAAATGATTAACAAAATAATAACAAATCCTAGATTAGAACAGAATAATGGAACATACTAAGCACAATAGCCAAAAAACTATAATCAAGAAAATACTGACAGAAATTATTGCATTTAATTAAATTAACGAACCTTACCTTATGTATCATTATTTCGTTTGTTACACATCTACAATTTGACATTTACTCCGTATGTTTTTTGTAACATCCAGGAAATTCATTATTTGTCCATCGACTCACATACAATTTCTCTGCACCATGTATAGTCTGGAACATGTCCATCATTTTAAATTTTGTTCACAGAAGAATTCTGTGTTCTCTTGTTCAGAATTCAATTCAGCATTAGTTCTCCGTACGAATCCTTTTCCGCCCAAAGCGAAAAGTATTGAATTTAGTCACCATCAGAGAATAATATTGTTTCTAGTAAATAGATTGCAGATTCATACTTTAAAGAATTATTCAATTAATTAATAAATGTGGCAGAAAGTTATTTTATACGCAGATAATGAAAAACATTATACTTTGATTATTTTATATATTTTTTTTATATTATGTGCATCCTGTGCAATTTTGCATTATAACTAATGAAATTCTAAATAAACGTATTAATACATTTCTGACAATTATGAAACGCTTTCTGAAACGTCAATTTTTCTAGATCATTAGGTTTTGAGATTTCTCTTCAATACGTAATTCTGTATACATATATGTATGTATATTTTTTGTGTTTTCTACCAGTTAAAGTCACAGTTATATACAGGATATTTCAGAATTATGCTTATACGCACGATGATATTTAATTCTAGACTCTTAACTCTAGACTTTAATTCTATCCATAGATTGATCAACAACAATTAACGATGTGTCTGAATAAAAATTACAAAAAATTAACTTCCTGATTGCCAATATTTATTTATTAATATAATTATTTATTATTATATTTATAATTATAAATACTTAATAATTAGTTATTAATTGTTTATATTTTTCATTATATAAGATTTATTCTATGTATTGTTTATTACTTATTCTTTGCTTTAAGTATTTGTGTGTACATCCTAGAAATGTATTATATTTATCACATAATTATCGTATAATTATCATTTCAATACATAATATTATATAACATGTTATAAATGATAGGATTATAAAAGAAGTTATATAGGAATAGAATTTTTGATATTCAAAGAAATAGGTTGTCAAACTTTGATACCTTATTCTAATGTCACTAACACTAAATAAAATCATATAAATATGTATATGATTTTATACTTATATGTATATGATTTTTATAGTACTAAGATAATTTAAAGAGAAGGAAAGTGTTTTCCACTTCGCAATTTATTACATAATCTAACAACTTTTTAAAATAAAGTGAATAATGTACATATTTTAAAAGTAGAAGCTTCAGCCATTAAAATGAGTTCATTAAGTTTTTTATTATACGATTCATTAAAAATGAGTTTATTATATGTTAATTTAAAAATAAATAAAAATTATGACAACTTCAACATTTACTGTTCCACTATTAATGGGAGTCACAATTTTTATTTACTCTGAAAGTATCCGTTTAATTTACCTATGATTATTCTTTGACGAAAAAGTATATTGAATTATGTTATTAATTTCAAATGCTCGTAACAGTTAACTATAATGTAATTGCAAATAAATACGAACGAAAATACTATCGAACGAACACAATACCTTCATCAAAGCATAGTTTCAAATACATCAATACTGTTATTTCATCAAAATCAGCCTGTCATGTCATTGTTGATGATAGTTGAGAATATTTTTTACAATTAAGTACCGTATCTTTTATACATATGTCATGGATATAGTATAGTTAACTGATTTTATTCAAAGTAACAATGAACTCAGTAAGAATATAAGAAGATAAGAATTCAAGAAATTTAAAGATCCATTGTATCAAAATAAATATAATATTAAAGAGGATAATAAAATTAGCAGGCGTATTCAACTTTAAACAGATAATACATACCATTATATTTTTTCTTCATTCCAGCAATAACACTGATCGTACAATATTTCAACGATATTTTTAATTAAATATCCACGATAATATTATTTTGGATTAGTTTGGAAATAATCCCCGTTATTGCAACCTGAAACAGGACAAAAATATTCTGTCATAGTAAAAAGCAGTATGTTAAAAAAAAAAAAAAATAGCACTTTTTGTCAAAAATTTTCATAAAATGTAACACTAACGAGATTTATGAAAGACTTCACAATGTCTATTATGTCTAGCACAAATATTGCAGAGCTCGAAGAGAACGTTCTTAATACTTTACAAAACGCGACAGAAATAAAATGCACAACAGAGCAAGAGCCCTAAGAGAAATTCCGAGTTCACTTCTCGAACGACAGTAAAGAACTGACTCTTCTTTTCGTAAGCTGTAATTTTCATGCTGCACATACGTTGCCGTAAAGATTGGAAATGCGAGGAAACACCTGGGTTTGATTGACACTTTTTTGATTGCCACGGAGACAACTTTTTCTTAAAACTTAGAGCAATTGTGCGAAAATTGTAGGGAAGAGAAAGAATAAAAGTAACGTTTCTTCTCGGAAAGACATTCATTATTCACGCGCATCGGCGGATAGTCATTTCCCCCTCATGTGTAATTCACAAGTTGTGTCACGCGACGGTGTCAATATTTTTATCCCTTTCTTTTATTTTCTGTGAAATATGTAAAGCTACGACCGTTACCAGACGCTTCCCGACCGTCGAAGAGAATGGACTTCATTGGCTACAAGTATTATAGACTTTTGAAATTCTGCTACTTCGTGATGGGATTGACATCGTACAAACCAACACAATTAAGCGTAGCGCATACTATGATCGTATGTTGATACTTCTTCTCGGTTCAACATTTTTCGTTGTAAGGATATTCCATTCGTACGAATTATAATTATTTAACCGGTTTTCTCGTATTACTCGTTCTCTCGTATCAATGCATTATTTGAGAAAAAAATTCATCTCTTATTTACATTTTTGTTATCAGTTGTTACAGCTCTATTTCGAAAATAATATTTGCAGTTCTCAATTGTCTTTATTGCAAACAATATTTATAATTCTGATAGTATACATGAACATAACCTATAGTTCCTTAATTGTGAAATCCATAAACGTAAGTAATGAGTTACGTAAGTAAGTATATAACTACGTAAGTAACTGTATTTCAGTTAATTTTAATCAATCATTATAAGACCGTATCATTACGTATCCTCTTTTCTGGCTTTTTCAAGTTAGAGGAATGGTTAAAGGATATAAAATGTGATTGGAATCACCTACATGACATAGAAGAATTTGAAATACTTAAAACACATGTCGCGAAGGGAAATCGTTATACAACTATTTATTTAAGTAAGAAGTAAATTAATCGTCACATAAGACGACCAGGAAACGCTTAACGATAATGTTTTACGCGTAAGATACATTGCAGTTATACTTTGTACCAGTTATGTCACTATTGTTGCGATACCATCTCTTCAACCTCGCATTCTCGAGATTTTTATATTTGTGAACAAATCTCATCTGTGTTATTTACCGATTTTTTCAACGATGCTTATAGACAAATCTCGAAATTATTATTGGACTCTTTTTGCGAATGTTATAATTATTTTGTTTATAATAATTTTGTTTTGCCGTGACAATTTCTTCATATTGACTATATTGCACATACATGGACTGTACAGAATTGCTACGTGAGTATAGTTTTGATTCTGTACAAATAACAATTAGATATTATGATATTTTTCACACTTATTAGTTACCAAATAAAAAATGCTGTGGATAGAAATTCGATAGAAATGGGCATTTCTAAGAAAGATATCGTTATACATAACCAAATAATACACGCAATGGAAATTTATAGCTCAATAATAAAGTTAGTATCTTCTCAGATAAGTACTAACATGCTAATATTTATGCAAAGTTTATTTTTCCAAATATTTGCTGTCTTTGAACTTAAATATTTTAAAGTTATATTTTAATAGTTTTCCTAAGTTTTTCTACGTTAACGCGAAATCAGATTCATTATATTCCGTAGACATGCTTATATTATATTAATTCATTCTTCCTTGAAGGTGGATTAGGTATCTGAAACACAATTTTTCATTCTCCTGCCTAGTAACCGCTGTAGTAGGGTCAATATATTACGCAATGGTCATGTTCAATGTAAGTAACATTAACGTACTGAAAACATCACATACATGATATGATTGGAATCTGACGATTTTTAATCTGCAAATCTGTCAGTTGTTTCAACAATAAAAAGATTAAGGCACCCAACCGCCTATTGTGAATACTAATTGTGTAATTATCTAAACAAAATATAAAATTCGAGATTTAAAGCAACGATTAATTTGAGATTTAATTCAATGATTCATTCACAATGAAAAGATAAAATTACAAGGATTCTTGATGAAATGTAAATGATAAAATAATAATAAATCTATGAATTTTAGTTGGAGTAGTCTCTGAAAAATGGAATATATGTCAGAGAAACCTTTCTACAAAAAAATTCAATAATATTGTACATCTGTATTGATATATAATAAGTACTTAAATTGACATATAATAAATACATTTGTATTGACATATTTAAAAAATAAAAGTTTAGAACTTTAATTTATTTCAGAAATCGTCAGATTCGCTTTCCAAACCCTGGATTTTATTACGTTTGTGATATATTCTGTCTAGATTTCCAGGACGATATCCCATGGATACAGATTTGTCATGATTATGAACTTCGTTATCATTATAAATATTATAATCTTAGGTATTAAAATATTATATAGAATACAATGCGTATTCGACGAAAGTCAGAAATTCTTCTATATTCCGTAAGTACGCAAAATAATTATTAATTATTGGTATTTAATAATTTGTCTAACTGTTAATTAATCGCTAATTCTAGTTCTTTATTATTCTTTATATGAAATTCATTCTATATATGATTGCTTATTATCTATTCGTTGCTTTAAGTCTCATATAAAAAATGAAAAAGTATATTTACCACTACATATTGTATAGCTATATTAATATGTAATACATACACACACACACACACACAAAATATATACATAATATTAATTATATATATATATATATAAATTGTGTATATATAATTTAAATATTATATAATTATACTATTATCATACATCATTTGTATACGTATAATAAATTATACATTTATAATACTCTAAAAATTAGGTGAATTTTTTAAATTATTAATCATATTCTACTGTTACTAAGGAAATGATTGAATCATATTAGTGTGACCAAAATATTCAAAACTCTTCCTTTTCGAGAAATAAACATTTTTTTTTACATCGAATATTAACTGCAATAGAATAATTATTAGATTCTGAGTTTCAACCATAATTTGGACTTTTATTTATGAGAATAGTTTAAAAGTTTGATTTATGATAATAACATTAGTGATGAAATATTTAAAAATCGGACTATTGTCTTGTGTGAAAAAATTTGGAATACACTAATATATATTAAATATGTACTAAACTGATATACATTGAATTTGAAATATCAACATCTTGTAATTTTTCAACATTTTTTAAGAGAAATATATATTGTCAGAGAAATGCATTTTAACGATTCGTTTGAATAAATTTTGAATATTCTTACAATATTTATCAATACAATAATAATTACAATCATAATCATAGGATGAATTTCGAAATGAAAGGTTTTCAGATTTATACTTCTATTTATGTGCCTCAGTGGCTATCCAGTACGAAAGTTTGGTCAGTAAAGATGTGAAGTGTATAAAAGTAGAATTAGAGTTCCAGTAGAATCGTAACTTTCGAATGAATGAACAACATCGCAAATGTTCCATTTGAAAGAATCAGTGGTGTGAGAGAACCCGAAAATATTAGACCGAATTGGGTTTCTTTTTCATATTTAGGTCAGATTCCATTAAAATGATTCCGCAAAATAATCGGATTTTCCAAAAAAAAGTCGAGATTTCCAATAGAATCGTGTTAGTCGGAAACTTTTTGAACGGCTCTGAAAATCTTTTTGAATGAAAATTTGAAACAAAATTAATATTACAATATATATTACAATATATATTACAATATATATTACAATAATATATTACAATATATATTACATTTGGATATCGCATATTTGACTATCGCACTACTTTTTCTTCATATTCTATCTTTTGCAATTTTAGAATCGGGGAAACTCGACTCCATTGGAAATTTCGGAAGTTTCGGAAATTCTGATCATTGAATTTTCATTTTTGGGTATACTTTTTGGGTTTTCACACACCTCTAGAGAAACCGAATTGATGGCACATCCCCCCGATAACATATCTTGACCATTATAATGTGTTTCCCTTGAAATAGTAAGTTCCATCGGTAAAACTTTTTATAGTGACAAATTACTTTGAAAGATAATTGCGTAGAACAACTTACAAGCTGATGCAACAAGTAAATTCTTAAATAGAAGCATCGTTTACAAACAGAAAATTCTGAGATATACCGTAGAATGTAATATTATATCAAATATCGCGTTCTGTTTCATTTCTGTTTTGTCAATTAATCTCAATATGGTTTTCTCAGATATACTGTGGAATGGTATAATTTATCATTATCAATACAGAAATTGCTACTTTTTATTATGCAAGGAAACCATCACTCAGCAGTATTAAATCTCTATAGTATATTGATACCTACGTTAGAAAATTTGAGCACGGTAAGAAATATTTCCGTGAGAATCCAAAATACATAAAATGAGAATAAAATACTTTTACAGCAATTTAAATTATCTTGGTCCTACTTTATGCTGTTATATTCTACTCAGAAATAATAACAACGATTATAGAACGTCAGCGGACCATACGGAAACATGATACACCAGTTGCTATACGTTATTATTAATATATATATATAAGATAATACTTTATATTAACATCGCACGAATTTGGTATGTGTTAGAAATAATGCAGCGGAATAAAAATATATCTGGAGTTCATTCCTTACGTGAAAAGCACGACTAAAGGTATTATCTTTAAATTAAGTACGTCTCTTTACGCATTATCAATCGCAATCACTGAAAACCATTAGATTTAAAAGAATTATGTATTTATTACATACTTATATTTATATATTTACTTATTGCAAAGTTTTTGTAATAAGGGATCTTGCTTAATATGCTTTCTTTTTTTGTTTTCTTTGGAAAGTAATTTCATAATTATAATCATCTCCTCAATATCCATTCTGTTCAGTAATATTATGATACTGATATGATTTTAGAATCAAGTTTGATCCACAATTTCAAACGCGTGACAACTGCTCAACAATAGGTAACGACTCTTATAGTCTGAAATATTGCCTCAACAGTAAAGATTATGCAGGAGAAATATTGTTTGCTATTGCTTTAGTTTGCAGAAATTCTAAATTTTCTAGTAATTTCTTAAGGCAATTTTATAATTGTTCAGTTGCTCAACACTGCATCAATCGAGTCTTGATTGAAATTGAGTCTAAAAACCATAAATAAGTAATTTAACTAGTTTTAGTTTAATGATCGCTTTAACTGTATAGATATGTTTTAACTGTATTATAAAAAATCATATTAAATAACTACGTCCTCAATTAATTGTACGTACATTACTTGAAAAGTTTTTAATAGATATAACTTTGAATTTAAATATTTAGATATTCTTGCTATTTATTAAAGATTTGGACACTTTAAAAACGTTAGTAGCAGTAGTTACGGTTATTTATTTCTTTGGCTTCGTACAAAAATTCTTCTCTAATTGTCTGCCTTTTAAAGATACTCTGTCTTTGCGAATATTTTTAAAGATACTCCATACTGCGAATAAGTTTTAGGTATTTGAATCACATGAATGTGCTCTTTTTTATCTTCGAATACAGAAATCAAAAAAATCAGTAACCATAAGTTTATCGTATTTTCTGTGACTTTCAAATATTGATCAAGTAACAAATTTTAATGCCAATATAATTTTACTACCTATATATATGCATACTAGTTTATATTTTGTATTTAATTTTACACTATAGAAATATAACTATTCTGATTGTTTCAGATAAGTAATGGTTTTTTCTCAGAAAAGATAAATTGTATTTTGAACGAAACTGAAATCCAACAATTACAAACACAATTGCAAATGTTTATGTTGCAATGAGAAACTTGTAATAACTAAAGTATATTGGAAAGTTTAAAATAAAAATCTCAAGGATTGACAGACTAATATTCAAACTATTCTAGCTCACAATTATAAGTTATTCAAAGACATTTCATAGTTAATATGTTAATTTTATATTAGCTTCTTCACAAGGCACTTTAATCAATAAATGCAATTATTTCCAGAACTATTTGTTATTTGAGAAAGTGTTTCTTACCAACCTCGTTTTGTTTTCTGAAGGAGAAATAATCTAGTGCAATTAGTTTGTATGTAGCGTGATGGACATATGAGTTAACTTTTTTTTTTTTTTTGAAATTACATAATTTTTCACAGATTCGTGCATCCTGATTTTTTTATAAAAAAGAAGAATAACTTAAATTTAAAACTATTCGTTTAGGAGATATTTTAACTTAGTTATGTAAAATCAATGTAGGAAAAGCAGTATTCTTGTATTCATACTGTTTTCGTCTTTCGAGCGATAGATTATAATTAAAAATGAGGTTAAAATATCTCTTAAACTAATAATTTTTCAATGCGAGTCTATATCTTTTCATATCGAGATGCATTCACTGATTCGATGGATCAAGAAGTATATCATTCTTTTAATATAGTGGAAATAATGACGAAATCTTTTCTAAAAATCACTTGTAAAAAAGAAAAAAACTATACACATCACAGAATGTTGTTCAAACTTTCGTACAAAAAAATTTTTTTCGTACAACACAAACCTTGGAAGTTATTCGAGGTGAGCACGTTTGGTACCTTACTTGTGTAGTATATAGTATATTATATTCCTTTTTTACTTAGAAAAGGAATTGGTCGATCGTCAAATATAGTGTGTAAATCGATCGGTTCCATCCGATAACTCGTCTCTGAAGTGGAGAAAGTGGCTTGCCACAACTACGACCATATTAAATTATAAACGATAATATATTCATGTTCCCACAGACATTTTTACTTTAAAAAAGACAAATTATAAATTTAAAATTTTAAAATTTAAGAAAGTTAAGGCTAAAATATGTTTTATATTAAGAAGAAATACTTAGACAATTATTCGAAATTCAAACGAAATGTCGATTAATAAATATTTAGTAAAAATCCCATTTCTTACAGATTAATTCTTGAATTCTTTACAAATTAATAAATTGATAAAACTGACATATGTTTTTTTTCAAAAAGAATTCTATTCTTCACACATTTAAGACGGATGACGAACCACAGTTCTCATGTTTAAAAGCGCAGTGCAAGAATTGACAAATACAATGAATAAATAATGATATATTAATATTAAAAACATAATGATGTGTTCTAAAACTTATAATACGTCAATCTCAAATATATGAAGAAAGTCAAATTTATTTCTTCATGTATCGAGATTGAAGTCCGTTTCAAATGTGTTACGCAGAATCTTTTGCATATTTGTACAAAAAAATTGAAAGTAAAATCACATAATGAAATTGCAAGTCTCGCCATAACGCGTTAAAAAGTTGCTAAAATTTTTAAATCTTCATGTACTATGTTACTTAGGCGCCTATGTCACATATATATATATATATGTTAATATTCACGCGTTCTCCACTTCTTTCAGGAAGACTGTCGTACCATTGTCGGTTCAAACTGGCTCAGTCAGTGTCTAACGTCTGGTGAGACTGCGGCTCAAGTCTCAAATTGTCCGATTCCCAGTTATGGTTTATGTCAAAACTACATCAACAAAAGTATCCTCGTGACTATGTGGCTGATTGTGAGTACCTTGACACAAACTAAATTTGTCTAATCAATTAAAGCTAGTGTGTGCTTCGTTATATTCTAACACATTATGAATCATAAATATTATACGCATGAAAATATTTTTGTATATTGTTTCGAACGATGCCAATTGCCAATCAAGATGAAATTTGGAGGTTGTTAGGAAAGGTATAAAAAGACTCTAAATATAACATTATAACTTCGGAAACCATTCATAGAGAAAGATAATTTTACAAAATCCAAAATATAAAAGACAATAAGGCAAAGAAAACAGCATAAAAGTCAGATGGAGATAACTATAATTAGATCAAACCACTACATAATTAATATGTATAAGTTTACGATGCAGTTTTGTTTAACTTTAGATGTTTCAGATATTCTAAATATTTGAATTACAGTTCTAATACTTGTTTTCAATATTACTAACGGGAGTCATTCGAAACTATAGCCCACATAGTACACTATAGAATAAATATTAGCTTATTAGAAAATATTTAAACAAAAATTTAAAAAAAAGAAAAAGAAACAATATACAGAGTTTCCAAACACCCATTTAAATATTATACTCAGTGTTGCTTAACTTCGGTGATCGGACGAAAACCAGTGCTTTGCTTACAAATTAGTTTACTGAGTATTGTCTAAATTTTACAGTGAGGTACAATTATCTCCAATAAACGCGAGATTACAATTTATTTGATTTGCTTCTTAATGGCCTAGTTACTAAACATCCTTAAAGCTTATAATTAGATTATATTATCTTAACAACAGTTTGCACTGTTATGTTTTCTTTTCCGTGTATATTGATCTCGTCTTAATTCTACTATTTGCACTATTATTTTACCTAAGTTATATTATTTTACTTGTATTCCAGAAAGGAGTAATATTGCTTGAACATTGACAGAAATAGGAGAAACCTGAATTTATTTTTTGTCTAGATTAACATCGATTTCTATTATACAAAACAATTTATATATTGAAATGTGAAATCTCTAGTTATTGACTAATGCTCTTCATTGTGTATATGTTCATTGGGTCTCACGAGACCCACCACCGGCCAGTACGGCCCGTCATGCGAGGTTTAAATGGCAAGACAGCAAAAGCGACGTAATTAGACGGCTGTCAGAATGGTAATCCAGAATTATCTATAACTCGTTTTCTCGCGCAAAAAATACCGCTGCACGATTATCACTCGAGTAGTTCGACTGTTTCATCGTATGTTTATCGGCAGCAGCACAAACGTGGAGTGACGCATTACACACGATCGCCGTCGAATCGCGTCTTCAGTCATCTCGAGCACACTGGCGCGACAGCATCCGCTGCCGCTGCTGAATGTTCTATTTATAACGGATCGAAAGTAGTCGGTGATCGGTTTCTGTGATTATCCAGTCTCTCGATGATACTTTCTGGATAGTGAACAACATCGTTACCGATAGGTGCTGAATACCTGCTACAAGTGCAGAATAACGGATCTGAAAATGGGTTGGTGGCCGATAATCGCGGCTGTGTTGGCCGTGCTAGCGGTGGTCTACTACCGAGCCACGCGTAACTTCGACTTTTTCAAGAAACGTGGGATTCCGTACTCTAAGCCGATGCCGTTTTTGGGAAGCATGTGGGAAGTGTTCTTTCAACGATTGTCGATTGCCGAGGGCGTAGAAAAGATGTACAATTTGGATCCTGAGTCAAAGTACATCGGTTTCTTCGAGTTCGAATCGCCTCTGCTCATGATTCGAGACCTCGACCTGATCAAGTCCATCACCGTGAAGAATTTCGACCACTTTCTAAACCACAGAATGGCTTTCGACCCGGACGTGGAGCCTCTCTTTTCGAAGAATCTGTTTTCCTTGTGCGACGAAAGATGGAGAGAAGTACGAAACATGTTAACACCGGCCTTCACGTCCAGCAAAATGAAATCCATGTTCATATTGATGCGCGACTGTGCGAAAGAGTACGGCGATTATTTCGCTTCCTTACCGGCCGACCAGTCAACCTTGGAGTTGAAAGAGGCGTTCACCAAGTACACCAACGACGTGATTGCCACTTGCGCGTTCGGTGTTAATGTCAACTCGATGAAGAATCCGACAAACACGTTCTACGTGTACGGTAGAGAGGCAACCAATTTTGGGGGAAGAGCGCAGGCCGTCAGGTTTTTCGTGGTGAGAAAGTTTCCATGGTTATGTCGATTGTTCGGTATCAGGATATTCAAGCAGAAGATCGTCGACTTTTTCAAGGAGTTGATAGTCAGCACGATGAAGGTGCGGGACGAGAACGGTATCGTTCGTCCGGATATGCTTCAACTGATAATGGACACCAGAGGGAAATTGGGGCCAGGCAAAGAGTTGTCCATCGATGACATAGTGGCCCAGGCGTTCATCTTCTTCTTCGGTGGATTCGAGAGCACCGCCACTCTAATGTGCTTCGCCGCTTACGAGATCGGCATCAACGATCAGGTACAGAAAAGATTGCAAGAAGAGATTGACCAGGTTTTGGAGGATTGTAAAGGCCAGGTCACGTACGAAGCTATTAACGGCATGAAGTACCTGGAGGCTGTCATCCTCGAGAGTCTTCGTATGTACCCAGCGATTGTCGGTAGCGACAGAGTCTGCGTGAAACCGTTCGAATTGCCGCCACGCGTGCCGGGAGCAAAGCCGTACGTCGTTCAGCGAGACGACTGTGTGTGGATACCGATCTATGGCATTCAACATGATCCGCAATACTACCCGGACCCGAAACAATTCAATCCCGACAGGTTCTACGACGATCCGAAACAAATGGCCAACTCCCTCTCGTTCCTCTCGTTTGGAGTGGGCCCCAGGATGTGCATCGGCAACAGGTTCGCTCTCTTAGAAGCGAAAGTATTGCTCTTTTTCGTTTTCGCTAAGTGCGACCTTACACCATGCGCCAAATCCTCCATACCATTAAAACTGGACCGGAAAGGTTTCGCCATGATCCCGGAGAATGGCTTCTGGCTGAAAATCCAGCCGAGAAACGCAAAGAAAGCGGAGCCAGTGGAGCTCATCGAGAAGATTCGCGGCAATTAACTTATGTTGCATTGTACACGATATTTGCAGAACTTCTTCGTTTGTCTAGGGATAATTGTTTTTAATCTTTTTACAAATAGTTGTAATAGGTTATAATAGAACGTGATATATGTAAAATGTAATGGAGTTGCAACATATATTAGTTGTAATATAGGGATTTTATAGAAGGAAGTAAATCGGAAACGAGAGTCTGTCGTTCCAGCCCGTAAAATGTACTACTTACGTGTATGTGCAAAGATGGTGTCTGGAAACATGGACAGTTATTCAATATCTTCAGTTCATTCTAAATGCACAAGTTGCGAACGATTATTCACACATTCACGCTTTCAAGTACAAGATAGGATTTATCTTTTTTCTTTTTTTACTAACCTCTGTTCCGCTAGGAAAATTGTTAATTTTCAGAATTTCAACGACATTATCAATGAATTTTCTCGCAGAATATATTGGAAATAGCCGTTTTTCTAGTCAAGAAGAAAAATATTTTTTGTTATTAAAATAAGATAATAATCTTCCATAGATTTCTTCTTTTTACACGTTTTTACAAAGATTTAATATATACTTTGTATTCAATGTAGACTTGTTACAGTAAAATAAAATGACCATTTGAAATAAATATACTGACTTTGGACTAAATTAGAAAAATAATCACATGATCATTATTTCCATTTAGTCATCGTATCTAAGCGTTATCGTTCTCAGAAGAAGATAACAATGTCTTGTATTGCTTTCGAATTTTAAAGATTGTGAAACAAACAACAATATCCGCTTAACTTTGAGATATCTTTGTTGACAAAAAGTAGTTATGTGCACAGTATATTTGTACTGTTGTTCCTGGATATTAACGACAAGAAGACTTTTCTTGATTGGCTTTTTATTTATCTGTAAAATAATTTCCAATCTTTTTTAGTGTTTTTCTGATTTATTGTGTTATTTGCATTGATTTGTTCGCATGCGTCCTTCCATTGAATAAAAAACTCCAAATTCGATTTCCGAAGAATGCGTAGAAATCGACATTTTGAATAGCCTTTACTTGTATTAGTTTCAAGAAGTTTGTAAAAAACTTCTGTTAGCGTCACTAACGTTAAAATTTGCTTATAATCAGTCATGCCAGACGAACGTATCGACTGTGCTTTGGTATAGAGCTCGATGCGCTCCTAGCGGCAGTGTCTAAAGAATTATATCGAAAGCTAGGTCTGATACAAATTTGCCATACAAGCGTACCAATATCAAATATTTATTTAACACATTAGTATTCAAAAGTCATCGAGATCGGAGAAGTATCGGTTTTTCTACAGATTCACTGACAAACGAAAGAATGACAGAAAGAATATATAAATTAGCAAAAAGTTCAAAATTCGAAATTCAAAGTATAAAGTTCAAAGTTGAAATTTCAAAATTCAAAATTTAATCCAAATTTAATTTTTTAATTTTAAATTTCAAGTTTTAAATTCTAATTCAAATTTCTATGTTTTTTGGGAGGGGCTAAATGATGTTTCTTTATAGAAATTGATTCACTCTAACTCAGAGCCGCGGGCCCTTGACCTTACTTTTCTAATCGCTAGAGCTATCCCCTCCACTGCAATGATCTCTTCGCTTACAATTATGTAGTAGAGAAATCAACAGATTGAACGTGCGAGGCTCGTGCACAGCGAGGAACAAGAAAGAGGCTAATGCTGATCTAGTTGCCGATAAGAGGAGAATACCTGCTCGAAGCGAAATGACTCATTTGGAAATGGACTGGTGGTCGATAATCGCGGCCGTTTTTACTAGCGGTGGTCTACTATCGAGCCATTCGTAATTTCGACTTTTTCGAGAAACGTGGGATTCCGTACGTCACACTGATAATGTTTTTAGGAGGCTTGTGGGAGATACTTTTCCAACGACTTTCGTCCGCCGAGAGCGTAGAAAAGAGTTACAGTATGGATCCCGAGTCAAAGTACGTCAGTGTCTTCGAGTTCGATTCGCCTCTGCTCGTGATTCGAGACCTCGACCTGATCAAGTCCATCACCGTGAAGAATTTCGACCACTTTCTAAACCACAGAATGGCTATTCACCCGAACCTGGAGCCTCTCTTCTCGAAGAATCTCTTGAGAAGGAAATTGGGTCTAGGAAAAGAGTTGTCCAAGATGTTCAATCCGTAAAATATACAAATTACACGTATGTGCAAAGATAGCATCCTGCTGGAAATATTTCGGACATTTATTCAATTTCGACAATTTAATCTAACTGCACAAGTTACGAACGATTATTCGCGCATTCACGTTTTTAAGAACAAGATGGGATTTATCTTTTTTCCCTTTTTTTTTTTTTTTTTTTACTGACCTCTGTTTGTTCTGCCAGTAAAATTGTTAATTCTCACAACTTTATGTTATCGAAGAATTTTCTGTCGATTCCTACAATCTGTGGTAAATAGCCGTGAATTTTGTGCAAACAGGAAAAATATTTTTGTATTAAAATAAGATATAAAATAGTAATCTAATAGATTTGTTCTTTCTACACGTTTTTACGAAGATTCAATATATTCTTTGTTACGAGATATCTGTTTATTCGTTAGATGTAGATTTATTATAATTAAATAAATACACTGACTTCGGGCTAAATTAGAAAAATAATCATTAGATCGTAATTTCCATTTAATCGTAATTTCTATTTAATCGTCGTATCAAGGCGTTATCGTTTCCAGAAAAGGATAACAATGTCCTGTATTTACTTCCAATTTCAAAAATTTTGCAAAAGTTACAAAAGAAAAGATAGCATCAAGTCGTGACGTTTATCTCCGGTCACATAATGGGCGCGTGTTACGCGTCCATCTCAATTATCATCCGCGTTGGATACATGAACATCATCTGCATGTCCAGCGCGTAACACTGTACCCGCGATACGTATATCAGTCGTATAATATATTCTGCTATGGAATCGACCAGTAGCAAAGATGTGATACGACCTTGTGAATATTGCCTGAATGAGCGAGTTCCTGTGTATTATGTATGTATACAGATATATATAAACTGGAAGCGACTACACACCAACAGCAGCTTGCTCGTTGCGTGTCATCCAATTGACCTACATTTTTTTCTTTTTCTTTCTTCTCCTTTGGTCATGGTTCAAAAAATTAAGACAACACGCTCATTCATTTGATATCTAGTTTTCTCGGAATCGTCAATTTGAATTTGCAATTTCTTTTCCTTGTACAGTCGAGACAATTATGTATATATTACCTAATCCTGCAACATTCCAGAACACCACTTTCCTATTACTCTCACCTTTTTATCCTTTTTCCTCCATTCTCTTTTCATTCCCTCCTACTCCTTTCCCTTCTTTCATTCCTGCCTTTCCTACCTCCAGCTACTTCTCTTCACTGCTCTCCTCCTCCCTTCTAATTCCTCTCCAAGTCTTTAGCACATTCTCCTCATCCCATTTTCATCATACATCATCCATCTGGATTTTCCCATATCTTATCCACGTCCTCCTTCCTCTTTTCCGTTCTTTTCACGCAATTTTTCTTAGTTCTCTTTGCATTCCCCGCTCCATCTTTGTGAGCTCGTCCTCCAACCTTTCCTTTTTTCCCTTGAGCTTATACTTATTGGCCATTATGCCCTTCTTCTGTTCTAAGTTTCCTATTTTCACCACTACCATATCACTCCTTCCTGCTACCTGTTTATATTACTTTCCACTTCCACTTTTTCACCTATCTTTTCCATAATCCTTTCCACTACCTTTTCCTTTTCCTTTCCTTTTAGATCCACTTCTTTTATTACAATATTCCTTCTCCTCTCTTCCCTCTCCTTTCTTTCCAACTTCTTTTCTATCACCCTAATCTTACCGCCTGCCCCTTTTCCGCCTCTCCCTTCTCTCCTATTTCTTTCCCTTCTTTCTCCTCCATCTCTCCCATTCTTTCTTCTCATTTTTTTCTTTCTTCTGCCATCTCTCCTCTATCTTTCTAATTTCCTGTCTTATTTCATTCTTGAGCTTCTCCATCTTCACCCCAATTCTCTTTTCCACGCTATCCTCTAATCCCTGGATCATCCCTGTATGATCTTTTTAAGCTCCTCCACATCCTTCCTTTTTTCTTCTTTTTGTCCTTCCTTACTTTTTATCTTCTTTGGTGACTTGCCCCCCTCCCTTAATCTCTCCCTCTGCTTCTGCCCTTCTTCTGCACCATTTATCTAATACTCCTTCATTATTCTTCGTCCCTACCTTCTTTTCTCTCACAGATCTCTCCCCTCTAATCCCTTCTTTCATATTCCTTTCTCCAATCATTTTTATCTGCTGTGCTCCTCTCTTGTTTATCGATGCTCCGCACAATGTCATCGTTTCTGATCCTCTAACACGCTGTTTTTTCTAACCTCTCTTTCTCTCCTCTTTTTTTTCTTCACCTGTGCTTCTCTCTTTATCTCCCGTCGCCCACTCCTTTTTCTCCTCCAACTTATCCTCCTTCCTTCTGCTTCTACCTCCCCAACCTCGTATAATCGCACTTCTCCTATCTAAACTCTTCCAAATTAACTTCCTTTTCTCACTTTCCATCCCCAAGCGCCCTCTAATCCACAAAATATTATATTGAAATGATAAATCAGTTCTCTCTTTTTACCTCTTCCGTAACGACTCAATTATGTATATATTATACATATATACATGATAGTGAGTATACAATGTCACGAAACGATTAAAAATCTGAAATTATACGTTACGTCTATTTGGTGTGACGGTGAATCTTTGATTCGAAGTTGTTTCGAATCTTATTTTAAAACGATCGTTCTATTTACTGATACAGCGTTCCAGAGTGACTGTTACACCAATGATGATAACTAAATTATGCGTCGCGATAAAAACGAAAATAATAGACAGCCTATATGCCTTGTATATTGAATTATTTTTTTTTTTTTTTAATAACGAGTAATTGCATGCTATCAGAATGATTCAGCTACTGTCGCTTTCATTGAAAGTGTAAATACATACGCAGTTTAATTATAACTGATTCCTTTTCTTTTCTTCAAAAACAATTAAACGTGGAAACCTCTTAGACGAGAAATGACGCTTAATCGATTTTTTTAGATAATGATCGTCAACTACAATCACGTTACAATTACATTGTGCAAGTGTCTACGGTGTGATACCATAGGTAGCAACAGAGTGACGTCATAATAAAATGTCTGTGTAATATATTATACAAGTTACAAGTGACTGCAGAGCATAGGCGTGCCCACGCACGTTCAGTATGTACCACGAATTCCTCTGGAGATCAATCCAAATCGTACACTATTAACAACAACCAAGTAAAGTTAACGGTAATAACTAGATACATAGTTAATAATAGCGGCGAGATTGGTCAAAGTAGGAAACGGACGACGCGCAACGCGAATATTGTCATAAACGATCAACAAGTTAAATTTGACGAAACGGGGAAGCAATTCAATAATTCGATGGTACGCGTTACTGGAAAAAAACGCGAACCGATGACTAAAAGAAAACACGAGTCTCACTTCTCCTTCTCCTTTTCCACTTCCTTTTTCATCTTCTTCTTCCTCCAGATTTCACTCGTGTTTTTTTTTTTCTGTTTCTTTACCCTCATCCACTTTTTTTCTTTCTCTCTTTTAATTTTTTTTTCGATCAACGCTGTGATATGTATTGCAAATACCATACGGATAATCAAATTATTTTCTTTCTAATTTTTAATATCGCCGTGTTTCAATTTCGATAATTTCAGTAATTAGTTATACAGGATGGTTCGTAACTGGCGATATAGGGCGATTCTATGAGAAAAAAAAAAAAAAAATAGATCGAAAAAGAGGAAGTAACATTTCTTTTGGTTTTATTATTTGTTTTATCTGGCACTTTATTTGTAAAGGCGTTGTTCAATTAAAAGGAAAGATTGTTTCACGATAAAGTAGCAGAACACCAGTTGTTGTAGAATTTTCGCAGTAATAAAAGGAACACGATTGTGTATTCGTGACCGGTATGGGTTGCATTATTATGCAACAGTATTTTCAAATTGATTAAATTCCAACGCATTTCCGTGACATTGGAAATATTTACAGAGCCGTGCAATGTCAGTAATATTAATTTACTACGAGATAAGTGTGGCAAGTCAAGTCTTACTTAAATATATATAGTGCTAGATCAAACATCAGGATTGATCTTTTCGAAAACAAGGCGTCGCACGGAAAAAAATTTTTTTCTTTTCTTTTATTTTCTCTTATTGTAGAATGACCTTGTACTCGATTGTACCATCAGTTACGAATCATCCTGTATTGTGCAACAGAGAAATTGCAATCGAAACAAATTACCTTGATTGATGATTATAGAATTGATTCATCCGTTGAAACGCAAAATACCTTTGATAGTTCCATTTATCTACATACATATTTATAAATGTATGTGTGTGTAATATCATTATCGCTGTGCTGACTACCGCTTATACTACAAATTATAACTTAATCTCAGACACAAGTAATCAGCAAGTCATTATCTCAGAAAAATAATATCTTCATCTTTCTCTCGAGATTATTTTCCTAATGGTTTTTCTTTGATATTTTATATTTTTACACAACAGATCGTGATTAATCTAAGTGACATAACACTTTTATCTTAATACGGATGTTATAGAAATATATATATAAAAAAATTACCTAGCTCCTTCATTGTCATCTCGTAATATTACTCGCACGAACGATTAAACGAGTATCTTTCTCTTTAAACCGGAAATATTTCTCGTAACTCTGTTAAATCTTTGCTAAATTGCTAAATATTTAACAAAGAGTTTGTAAAAAAAAAGAAAAACAAAAATGTTACGACTAACTATGTTCGTTTGCTAATGTCGCAAACAAGGAAATTGTATGGAAAAAATATATACACGGTACTGAATCGAATTAAATTTTTTAATAACATTAGCCGAAGCGCTGAGTGTTATAATAAAATTATAGCAGAAAGGTTCCGTTATTACAACACGTAAATTAACACGCTCTGTAGATAGACAGTAAATACTTTGATTTGTGGACGAAAGATAACAGAGGCTATTTTCATTACATCTAATCTTCAGAGATACCGGATAATTTCTCTATATAATAACGCAGCAATTTGAAGTGCTGAAGGAGGAATGAAAGCAATATAATCGCCCATAGAAAATAGATGCGATTTCTCATTATTTTTCCTATTAACAATAAATTGAGAGCCGAATTTTACAAATAGAGACAAGTTCGAGTCAAACGGTCGTTCCATTAAAGTATCCGCTCGTATCGTATCGACAATTTCCGATTTTCAACGGAAAAGCAAGATATGGAAACTGTTTCACGCCAATGAACGAATTTTTATCAAGTACGTTACAACGTTAGTGATTCGACGATGGGAAGGACAAAATTGCAACAAAATCTTTATTTACCCATGTTGAACTCGCATATGCAATCAAACATCTAACATTAACATAATATAGGTAATATTTTCGTTTACGTTCAATTGCAGGGAACAGCACTGGCGGAAACGGTAGAGAAACAATAAGAACTCTTTCTCGGCTCGATGGCCAACCAGAAACCGTTTTTCCCGGTGAGGTTAAACACGCCTTTTTCGAACTGCAACGGCGTGATTGTTCTCGACGCGAGCTTGATGCTGCACTTGGCGAGAACGTGACAGAGCAACACTTTCATCTTCGTCAGCGCGAATCGGTTGCCGATGCACATCCTCGGCCCAAGACCGAACGGCATGTACGCTGCCGAATTAGTGACCGTTTTGTTTTCGTAGAATCTATCCGGGTCGAATTTCAAGGGATTCTCGTAATACTTCGGGTCCTGGTGGATCGCACTTACGGGAATCCAGATGTTCATCCCTGCCTTGATGGTGAACGGTTTGTCACCGGGTCGGGCCGGCGGTAGTTCGAAATCTTTGGCGCACATTCTGTCTATGAACGTGGCGATCGGATAAAGTCGTAAGGTTTCGTTGATCACCGCGTCCAGATACTTCATCTCATGCATCGCGTCGTAGGTCAGCTCTCCGTTGTTATTTTCCAACGTCTCGTCAATCTCCTGCTGCAGCCTTTCCTGAACATCCGGATTCTCGGCCAACAAGTGCGCCACTATGCAGGTTTGCGACGCGACCGTGTCGAAACCGCCAAAGAAGAAACTGTACGCGTGATTCGCCATATCTTGCACGGTCATCTGTTTTTCCGGCTCTCTTTTCTTGTTATTGTCCATGAACAGCTGCAGAATGTCCGGCCTGCGAGCGCCGGTCCGTTGCCTGGTCTCCACCGTATCTGCTACTTGGTCGTAGAAAAATTTGGCAATGTGACTATCCACGATCTTGAGTTGCAGCAGCTCAGCTAACCACGGAGCGTTTCTGTTTACCAAGAGTATCAGGGACTTCTTGAACGTTGCCAACGACGTGCTTATTCTACCGTACACGTAGAACACGTTGTTCGGTTCCTTGACTGAGTCGATGGACACGCTGTAGACGCAGCTAGCAATCACATCGTTCGTGTATTTCGTTAACAGACCCTTCATATCCGTTTCGTGCTGCTCCTCCGGCAAATTCGACAAATGTTCGGCGAATCTGATCGCGCATTCTGACATCAGTTTGTACATGGTTTTTATCTTGCTGGAGGTGAACGTCGGTGATAGCATGTTCCTCTGATCCTTCCACTGGTCACCGTTCAACATGAATAGCATTCCCGCTAGCATGGGATCTACTTTTTTGTTCACCAGCGGACGATGATCTGGAAATTGTTCGACATTCTTCATGGTAACGGCCTTGATCAGATCGAGATCGCGTAGCATGATTAGCGGCGTGAAAAATTCATAGAAACCGACGTATTTCGCTTTGGGATCCAGTTGATAAGTCTTGGCAAGCAAGTCCGGCATGGTCATTTGTCGTCTGGCGAACGGTCCCATGTTTCCAAACAGCGGCGTCGGCGGAACGTGCAGGATGCCATGCTTCTTGAAAAAATTGTGATTCCTCGTAATAAAGTAATAAAAGGTAACGAGCACCGCTACCAGCGAAAAAGCGATCGGTAGGTAATCCATCGTGGCGTATTCACGGAGCGTAGCGGCAAGTGACTATAATAACGTGACGATGCTCACTCTGACAGCTTACCAAGCAAACTAGTGGTACGAAGAGTCGTCACTCGTTTAAAACCAGTTCTACACGGGAGGACTATGTTTTCGATGTATAAGAACGTCTCAATGTCTTCCAACTCCCTCCCAATTTGCGCCAAGTTACGTTGAGTCACGGTCGCGTTATCATCCTGCTAACATCGCTTTTATAAGCAGCTTTATCGCTCGTGATAGCTGATCGTGTTTGCGTAAATTGCGTTCTATTTGAATCATTGCCGAAGGGAAAAATTTAAAATCATCTATCGCTAGTTGAACAATATATATATATATAATACGGATAGGTTGGCTCGAGGAGATAGTATCTCGATACTAATGAATTTCTTATTCCTTTCGTTCCAAATACTCTTTGAAACAGCGTGGGTAATAAAAGAAAATAAGAAAAAAATTATTCGCCTCGAAACATGCCGTCTCGAGCGAGACTGGCGAAGCCGGCCGACAAGCTCGTTCCAGATAATTATCATTTACATAGTAAATTCTTTTTTACTATACATCTTGGTTTGTTCCAAAGCACGTAGCATGTAAATACGTAATACTTTCTGGTAAACATCGTGACGATAATTTCGTCATGATGTTTACCAGATAATTTCGTTATATAATACAAAATTTCCTCCTGATTTCAGGAAAAACATAATTATTGCATGTAATTGCACTGTGTCAATCTATCTCTTCGAAGACAAATTCGTATCAATTGTATCGAAACATTGTATACGACGCAATATATCTATTTTTCACTATTTTATCGAAATACCGAGTTTATCTCTTTTGCGCTCGAATGAAATTATATCTCACGTTACGTCTTTCAATTTGATTTTTGCAGAGTATTTTTCGCGTTACGTAAACTGATCGTAATCTTTCGGACGTGAAGTGAAAGGGAAGGCAAAGCATTTAATTCTAATCATCGTATCGTTTTTGCAAAAAACACATCTGTATGCAGGCTGAGTCGCTTTGAGAGCTGAAATATTTTTGAAACAATTCATTGTATCCAAAAGTGTCTTACTGTTAGATAAAAGTTGAATGGTTTCAAAAGGAGAATTAACTGATAATTATTATTTTTTAATGTTGATGCATAGAATACGCTTTTAGCATCTAGGTTTAGGTTTTTGGTTAGGGTTTTGGTTGGGACGTTGTAGGCCAGAGAAACGTTTGTTTTTTTAAAACATTACTCGGTTCAGCTTGTCGAAAGGTCTGTAAAAAAAATATTAAACTATTTATATCGGAAAATTATTAATTAAGAAGATACTTTAATTAAAATAATTCGGAATAATAATTACAGAATACCGAATTTATTTGTAACAGCACCATTAGAAATAACATAAGACTAATTATTTATTGCGATTGGAATAAAATAATTGCTTATGTCACTACTTCACGACAGTGCTCAAAGTGACAATCACTTTTGTAATTTAATTCTTAACGAATGTTTGACATTATTTAACATCAGCAGTGATATTTCTACATTCTTCAACATGTCTTTTCAGCGGTAGCTACATCAACGTAACTTTATCTTTTAAAGTCGACAAACGAAAAAGAAAAAAGATATGATGCGTTCGAGTCTGGTGAACAAGATGATCTGAGTCTTATCCGATTCTAAAGAGCACAAAATTTGACTTCGAACGAGTATCACACTGCATTATTTTAGTTGAAACATCTCTTGTTAGCGCAAGGATATTAAACATGCGCTTTGAATTATGGTCTATTCTGTATTTCTATTGGACGCTCTTTTGATTCATTCTCTTTACTATTTTCTAAATCATGGCTCAGAAGCACTGCATTAGTCAAGACGGTCATCTCTCGGTTGAACAACACTATTTTACGGTCCATTGATGTAAAATTAAATATAGCCCTCGGAATAGCCAAAAGCCAAACTCGACTGTAAGAGCAAATCACAACATTCTGAACCAGTGATTTTTCGGTATAAATGATTTGATGTTTTTTTATAGAGAATGTTGAGCTGAGTCGAATGAAACAAACTTGATCTTGATCTCAAACATCTTCAATACACTGTGAAGACCTTGTAAGACCTGTACGGCCTTATCACCTAAGTTCAGTCAAGGTCCATTACTGACTCAGAAGCCCAAGAATCACCATTATCACTCAAGCCCACTACTGGCTCAGAAGCCCAAGAATCAGCATTATCACCCAAATCCATTCAAGGTCCACTACTGACTCAGAAGCCAACTCAAGCAATCAACAGATGTTTTCCAAATACAGGAAAGCCAAGTCTATTTCTGTGGTTTGTGCGCCTTCGTTGTTATAATCATACTTGATTATACGCATCAGTATTTGATATTAAAAAGTGTTATACTTAGAATATTAGAGTTTAACTCTAGAGTATTAACTTTCCTTAAAGTCATCGTGGTAATAATCCCGTGACAACGTCAACATTGAAAAATACCAATTACATCGATTAACGACACCCGAAACTATCTAACGAAAGTTAGATTAAGTTTTATTTATCAAGAAAATAATTGATCATCATTAAAAGTTTCTTGAATTTGTTGTGTAACTGTTACTATTGTCATTGTTATTAAATTAATTTAATACGATAGTATAAACATATACACGTAGAACACGTTGTTCCTTGACAGAGTCAATGAACACGTTGTAGACGCAGCTGGCGATCACATCGGTCACCGTTCCACTGGTTCGTCATGAATAGAATTCCTCCTATCACGGGATCCACTTTTCTGTTCACCAGCGGACAATAATCTGGAAATTGTTTGACATTCTTCATGGTGACGGCCTTGATCAGATCCAGATCGCGCAGTATTATTACCGACGTGAGAAATTCGTAGTAACCTATGTATTTCGCTTTGGAATCCAGTTGATAAATCTTGGCAAGCAAATCCGGCATGGTGATTTATCGTCTGGCGAACGATCCCATGTTTCCAAATAGCGGCGTCGGCTGAACATGCACGATTCCATGTTTCTTGAAAAAATTGTAATTCCTAATAAAATAATAGAGGAACGCCACCAGGGACAAAGTGATCGACAGGTAGTCAGGAAACGCAGCGGCGAGTGATTGCAATAATGTGATAATGACGATACTTACACTCTGACAGTTTATCAAGCAGACTAATTGCATAAAGAGTCGCCACTCGATGAATGCCAGTTCTACTATGTTTTTTCGACGTACAGAAATGTTTCAATGTCTTCCAACTCTCACCCAATTTATGCCGCTCACAATCGCGTTACCATTCCGTTAACATCGCTTCTAGAACAAGCTGTATCGCTCGTAATAGCCGATCGAATTTACGTACATTGCGATTAGACGTTTTGCTGCATCATTGCTGAAAAAAAAATTTCAAATTGTTGATCGCTAATTGAACAATATATATGTATATATCAGACTCTGTATACAGGTATGTTGGCTCACTGAGGAGGTAGTATCTCGATACTAATGAATTTCTCATTCCTTTCGTTCAAAATACTCTTTTGCGATGCATTTTTAAAACGTCCGAGTATAAAAACAGGAACAGTGTGATTAATAAAGAAAGAAAAAGAAGTTATTCGGCATCTTCTTTGCCGTCTCGAGCTTATCAGACTGGCGAAGCCGACCGACAAACTCGTTTCAAATCATTATCATTTACATAATAAATTCTTTGTTGAGCCATCCATGTTGTCTTGTTTCGAGGTACGTAGCATATAAATGTGTAATACTATCTGAGAAACATCGTGATATGATGCAACGTCGAGAGTCGAGTCTCGCGCGTTTTGCGTTTCTCGATATCGTCCGCGATTTATTTCCAATTTTCGAGAACTCGCGCCGTTCTGGCTGGCTCTTCTGTGCCCACGGAAATTGAGATCGACCGACGAAGAGGAATGAGGCGCGAAAGCTTGGCGCTCGAGGTATCGCTTCTGTCCGCAAGTATCGTAAAACGCTTCTGACCAGAAGCCTGGTTGAGACTAGAGAGCAGGGAATAGAAAGTAGGAAATAAGGTGGCTCGTGTAACAGACTTCATTGTCAAAAACTATCATCGTCTTTGGGAGTCCGCCAGTGACCTGCAATTCAATTTGCATCATTGATTGGCGAGCCATCGATATACTCATAAGAAGGTGGATGCCATTTCTTTAGAAAAGAACATTCTTTTTTGTAAAAAATTATACACGGATTTTGTAAAAAATTATACATCGAAAGCTTTTCGCTCGATTAATAGTGTGTCCAATCTCCAGCACTAGAGATTATTGCTCGGACGCAACTTTTCACATTAAAAAATAGGGTCCGAATATTTTCAAATCTTGTCGATGGAAATGCATTTGTTCAGAGAACTGTTAAGAATTATTAAACATAAATAAAAGTGCACGTTTGGATATTTGGCTGCTTTAACGTACGCGAATTTCGGACCCTACTCTTATCTTTTTTCAGAGAAATTCTTACGAAACACATTGTGACATATCATCCGACGCTGATTGACGGAAAATGAGCAAATGGCGGACAATACACGCGAGGAGGAACAGCTCTTGGCGTCTTGCTCGTTAGCTCGTTACGCTAACCAAAGAAAACGTTTTTAATAGACGCAAGGACGAATGCTCGAGCGCGGAACGGCGATTCCATCGAACGCACTTTTCATTCGTTTGCATTCCAAAAATTCTCGTTCACGACGTCTGCAATTTTTTTGAGTCTTCCAATTTAAGGAAACCTTTCCAAAAACCTTTGAATTCGTTTGACATTTGTCGAGTCGTTCGCCATCTCGACAAAGAACCAATTTGTATAATGTTTCGTCCTCACGTTTCGTACTACCTATTTAGCATACTCGTTCTAAAACAAATACTACGCATTCTCTAGTAGATGTGCGTCACGTCGCGTTGCGTTGCGCAGCGACTATGCAATCAAACCGAGAGAATCCCTCGGATTTTATGTGAGAAATTAATAATGCGTTGAATAATTTGTATGTGTCCGTGCATCGTGTCGGCAAATAAGGAATGCCAAACCCGTCCAGCTTGTTCGAGTCGATTGTTTCCTCTCAGCCGGAGGAAAAATAGCGAAGCGTCCAAACTGACCTTGAGAATTCATTTTGTAACTCTTTACTCTTTGCTCCGTCCATCCAAATGAAATGGTAATTTTCGATAAAACGTTTTCCATTTATCAAATACATAAATTTAGGTTTTCGAAC